AACACACGTTACGCTTTTAATTACATACAGTAGATACTTTTTAACGGGTTAATGAAGTTTAAAAACCTTTCCACGCACGTACACACGTTACGCTTTTAATTACATACAGTAGATACTTTTTACCGGGTTAATGAAGTTTAAAAACCTTTCCACGCACGTACACACGTTACGCTTTTAATTACATACAGTAGATACTTTTTACCGGGTTAAATTTTAGTTTTCACCTTGGTAGGTAATTTACTGTGATCGGAAGATAAAACTGATTCTTAAAACCGCGAGGCCTTGCCTGACCTAGTGGTTAGGACATTCGCTTCGCACACCATGGGTCACGAGATAGAATCCCGTCACCGAACACGCTCGCCTTTATAATGTGACGGTGAAATTTATTCTTCATGGGTAAAGAGTAGCCCAAGCGATGGCGGTGGAGAGTATTAACTAGTTGCCTTCCATCTACTCTATCACTTCAAAATTAGGGACGGCTTTCAGAGATAGTCCTCGACTAGCTTTACTCGATTTGTAAACTCCACCCTTTCAGAGATAGTCCTCGACTAGCTTTACTCGATTTGTAAACTCCACACTTTCGGAGATAGTCCTCGACAGGCTTTACAAGATTTGTAAACTCCACCCTTTCGGAGATAGTCCTCGACTAGCTTTACAAGATTTGTAAACTCCACCCTTTCGGAGATAGTCCTCGACTAGCTTTACAAGATTTGTAAACTCCACCATTTCGGAGATAGTCCTCGACTAGCTTTGTAAACTCCACCCTTTCTTGTATTATTTCATTGCCCATGATATCAGTGTAGTACGGATATAACATCTGGTATTTAATTCGGATCTTGTTACATTCCATTGCAAGGAAACTCAAATACCCCCTTTCTATGTTACGATATAACTAATAAGTTCAGTTCTTCTTTGAAACCCAAACACACTCTTTTTGTGTAGTTACGATATACCACTTCAAAGAGCTAATAAGTTTACTTCTTCTTTGAAACCCAAACACACCCTCTTTGTGTAGTTACGATATATCATTCCAAAGAGCTAATAAGTTTACTTCTTCTTTGAAACCCAAACACACCCTCTTTGTGTAGTTACGATATATCATTCCAAAGAGTTAATAAGTTTACTTCTTCTTTGAAACCTAAACACATTTTCTTATTACGATGTGCTACTCCGAAGAGCTAATACGTGTAGATCCTCTTTGGGTGTGTTTCTTACCTTTCATATAACAACCAAGCTTGAGGTGCGACCGTCGAACGAACACATAGTTATTCAGGCATGCACATTTGCCAAACATACAAACTAACGGCGCATCACCACCCGACATCCATTCACACTGTACATCGTACTGGCAGGATTCATCAAAATTAGCTATAAGAAACAAAGTTTCTGTGTTTAAAAACAGGACAACTTACACTGTTACCCATATTTATACCTTATAATAGCCGCCTTTTTTTTCCACAAAGAATTACATTTATCTGTTGGTAAAACATATAAATACTAAAACACTGAGAATAAAATGTCATTGTACAAGATGCATATAAAGATTATACTATAAAATATTCTTGTTTAAACATTTACTAATTTACCTTTTTAGATTGAATACATGTATCTTTAATTTAAAACACAAATAATTTATTCATGGTTTTCATAAAATATTTCCCTAAATTGTGCATTTGCTACTTAATAATATGTTAAAATGATTTCCATCAAATAACTAAGTATTCAATCTTCTTTTTTCAGGAATATTAAAATGAAATAATCTAACGATTACAGGTTTTCTAAATACTCAGTCAGTTGTGAATAACTTAGAACACGTTTTATATGTACCTTTGTTGAAATGTTACTATTTTTATTTATATCTCCACCGAAACATTATTTAGAGTTCCCCTAACTTTAGGTTTCATTTAAAACAAATTTTGCTTCAATCCACTTTTTGACTTGGAATATTTAGTATAAAGGCATGTTAGTAATACTGAATAGTTTTATTGCTTTAAATATATTCTTGTTTAAAATCATAAATAATATTCAATGTTAAACTGGTACACAATTAAAAACATTTTATTTAGGCCTATCTATGGCCTTCAAAAACGTCATCCTCTACGTTGTAACGTCGAAACATGTAAGAGTCGCCAACTTTTTGAAGGCCATAGATAGGCCTAAATAAAATGTTTTTAATTGTGTACCAGTTTAACGTTGAATATTATTTATGATTTTAACTTTATACACAAGTGCCAAAATACTATAAATATTCTAGTTTAATTCTAATAATCTAAATTTCCGTCAATATAATCTGTGACGTATTAAAATTTTTGCAATCCCTAACTCATTCGGAAGTGCCGCCCCCACACTTAATAGTGTTGTGTTGGCTGAATATTTATATTCACTTTTTTAAAGAAAAGCCGGTCTGGGCCTAGTTGGCGTATGCGCAAAATACGTCACAGTATATGATGTTACTATTTCAAACAATTAACGGCTCAGTGGGTTCATTAATTAAAACTATTTGTCAAATTAAATTACTTTTCATAAGCTCACCTTGCATTACTTAAATTTTTAACTTATGTGCTGTATTTATATGATAGCCCCCAGTGGCTCAGCAGTAAGACTGAACGTTTATAACACTAAAAACTAGTTTTCAATACCCGTAATGGGCACAGAACAGATAGTCCACTGTGTACCTTTACTAAGAAACAAACAATTTATATATTTTTTTCTTATTTTTAGCAACAGTTATTTGAACTATAATTTAGATTGAACAGTGTAATATTTAAACTTTCTCTAATTTAAACAACTTCTTCCATCCAATTATTCCAGAGCTTCGATTTTTACAATTCAAATTTTCCCTTAGAATGCATTTGTTTAAATAATTTATCGGAAGAACTTATCAACTTAAACTGTTATTTATTTATTTATTTACGGATAAACAAGTGAATATGTATAAAAACCTAGTTTTTTCTCCGGTAGGAAAGAAATTTGTATCACATTCTTTATCAGTTTTGGACAGTGGTATAGTGCTAAATTTAGAAGTGAGGGGTCGCCACGATCTCCTTAATCCTTCCAACAGCTAATTATTAAACTGGTTATTTAATATGGCTATCATGTTTAGTGATTAATTAGAAAATTCCAAATCCATTGCTTTAGGTATATCATTGCATAGGAGTGGTATAACAAAATCAGACAGCTTTAATTTAATGATAAAACTTTATCTTATATACAGTGTTCCATATAAAATCATGATTACAATCCCATCAATCTATATTTGAATGTAAAAGAAAGCAACACGAGAAATAATGTGCATTTAAAACATGGGAGCTGTGTTCCCACTGAACATGAAATCAGGGGTAGGCACTCCCTCATGACTCCGCAGGAATACACTACTGGTTTTAGACCACGTTTTCTGAAGAACGTATGAACATATAGGGACGTATAGTAACATATAATAAAGGGGTAGTTTTAAACATATTTACCTGTTTATCCGTAAAGAAATAAAAAACAACAACAATTTATTCAAACATTGTTTGTTTGCTTTTATCGTCAAGATACAAAATGGACTATCTTCACTCTGCCAACCGCGATGATAAGAACCCCCAAATCTTAGAGTTGTAAGTCCCTGAACTTACTGCCGACCCATTAGAGAACATTTATCTAAGTTTGTTTGTTTGTTTTTAAGTTATGCACAAAAGCTACACAATGGGCTATCTGTGCTCTACCCATCACGAGTATCGAAACCCGGTTTCAAGCGTTGTATGTCCGCAGACATACCGCTGTGCCACTGGGGGGCATTTATCTAAGTATTTTGCATTAAAAAAATAACATAAGTACTAGGGAATACGGAAAGTTGGTTTCTTGTTTTGTTTCACTACTTTGGTAGTTTAATTTAGTTATGATTTAATCAAAATTATCTTAAGACGAAGCGTGTATTAAAATATAATATTTAAGTTTGAGTCTTTGTAATGGTATCTTCTATTTTTGATTTTGTTTTGTATAAAATATTATCTCTAGTGAAGTCATTAATTCAGAAAAAGTGAGATTTAAGGTTTTAAAACTTGTATTTGAAAATTAAAGGATGGAAGAAATAAAATTAAAGTAAAAATATTTAAGTAAGCTGTTGTGGTTTGTATTATATTACAAAATAATATATTTCAATTATTTTAAAATGTTTGAGGCACGCAATATAACTAAAATTATCTTACGGTTTAATCATAAAAATAATACCATTTTTGCTTAGGATTACACTTCTAATTAATGGTTAAAAATCCACAGATTATGTATATATAAATATAATTATATTATAATTAAAATAGTTCAGTAAATTTTGTTTAACCACTTTCATATATCAAACTTTCTATACTAATTAAAATATTTCTAGAAATTTTGGATTCAATGATTGTTTGTTTGAAGTTATGCACAAAGCTACACAATGGGCTATCTGTTCTCTGCCCACCACGGGTATCGAAACGCAGTTTCTACCGTTGCAAGTCCGCAGACATATCGCTGTGCCACTGGGGGGCTGGATTCAATGAGCACGTTAACAAATTATCTTTCTTTATTTTAACATAATGTTGGGTTCAGTTAGAAAAAAAAACACCACTTGATGATACTTTGAAAAGCGTAACATTTCACACAATGTTAATTGTATTGTTTATATGAGCTAATTCATTGTGTGTAACTGCAACTATTTTAGTATTGCCTACCTCTTTGGTAGCACTTTCGAACTCCATAGTCGTCCACTTGCGAATCGTGTTCAGGTTTGCACTCGCAACGATTATTTCTACATTCGGCGTTAGGCGTCCTGCATTGTTGGTTGTGGGAACACGCTTCGCCGAGATCCCTTTCTGTAAATTAACATTTACGTTCATTAACCATCTGAAAACAAGGTATTTTACGCCAAGTAAAAAACAAACAAACATGTTTAGCATACGGAGTTTTCGAAAAAAGGAAGAAGGTTCGTTTTTTTAAACGACATCTTTGAAATAAAGTTTGCTCCTGTATTATTATGATTGTTGCTTGTTTTCAAAGGTTCCATGTCAAACAGAAATTTTCTTTTAATTTTTTCGTCAAAATGATCCAGAATTTACGACAAATAAAGAAAAGGGGGAAATGAATAAACTGCATTCGTCTTATTTTTTTTATTCAGAAGTCTTCTTTGTTTCTTAGTATGATCAAAACGATAATTCCAAAAACTCCAAAAAAGTGGGGGGAGGCGGCTACATAAAAAAAAGGAAGCGGGTGGGGACACTAAACATGTATTTTCTTATTTGGCCTTATTGGTTTTTTTACAAGTTACAGACAGTAAGAAATTATATTTTTCTAAAAACAGATACGACGTTTCGATCACCGGTACGATCATTCTCAAGTACAGAAACTTTAAAAGTAAACAAGGTTTCTGTATTTAAATTAACATTCAACAATATAACAATGTGTTTAAGTTAGATAATCGATAATGGTTACGTATGCATGTGCATATCAATCTGCGTTAATTGACATATTTATTTATAGCTGAACAGTAAAAAGAAAAGTGAATAAACACGTGGAAGATGTGCAATTTGAATAACAGTAAGAATGTTTGGGGAAATAAGGATCGAAACATATAAGAGCGTGTGTTAACTTTGTTTGATTTTGTTAACAAGGTTCATGTTTTAGTATGGTTCAAGAAAATTGTGGCTGTTTTTGTTCATTTTTGGTGTTCTTTCAACCTGATGTTCAAAGTACTTCCTGTTTCACCTATGTAAAAGGATGGACAACTGTAATACTTTATTTTGTAAATGTTTCCTGGCGTTATATAATTTTCTTAACATGTGTTTAATTTTCATTCCATGGGTGAAAATGTTTTTGTTTTTTTTGTTTTTGAATTTCGCGCTAAGCTACACGAGGGTTATCTGCGATACTTAGCAGTGTAAGACTAGAGGGAACTGGGATTGACCGTTACATTACGGTTGAAAGGGCGAGCATGTTTGGTATGACGGGGATTCGAACCCGCGACCTTCAGCTTGCGAGTCGAGCGCCCTAACCATCTGGCCATGCCGGGCCGGGTGAAAATGAATCTAGTAATTTAGTAGTTATATAAATGCCGATATTTATCCAATTTATGATATTTGCCAACAGGATTGATACACACAGTTTTCTTTTTTTTATACAAATATATTTTAATATACAACCAATAATACAATTTCCAGTAACAGTTATTACAAATAGTTATTACAGACAGTGATTTATATACAAAAGGTTTACAAACTTACAAACAATATAAAGTCTTCTTTCTAGTGTG